GTGACTTGGAGCAGGAATCTAAAATCCAAGTACACAGAAAGGCGTGGGTGACAAATCAGGATTTACAAGGGGAAACAGTGGTCTGGATTATCACTTTCTAGAGACAATTTATATTTGTTTAATCAGCTACTGCAGTGACACATCCTTAACAGCCCGAAGAGAAGAATTCACAGCTACAAAACACTTGGTTGCAAAAGTCCATTGGTCCCTAGGTGGGACTCAAGCCAAGCTATTGCTATCAGAGAAGTGTTTTCCAGAGCACAAAAATATTAAGGAATTCATTAGTGCATTTGTTACAGTTGCACACTGAGGAGGAATGTCTACAAGCTGCTTTTTTTTTTAGTTTTGACAGTGTAGAACTAGATCTCATAAGTTCTTCTGGTTAAGACAGTTGTTGCCCACTGGATAGGTTGTTTCTTCCATTTTTTGGTACCACTTTTCAGTATGAATATTCATGTTGGTTACATGTTCCTCTCTATCCCCAGTTATCCCCTGTGAAGCCCTGGGTCAAAAGCAGTGGTAGCAGGAGAACTGATGACTCTGGTTTGAGCAAGCCATTAGGCGTGATATATTTTATGTGACTCATATCAGAGTCAGTTAAGTTGGAAAAGACCTCTGAGATCAAGTCCAACCTATGACCAAATACCACCATGTCAGCCAGATCATAGCACTGAGTGCCACATCCAGTCTCTTCCTAAACACCTCCAGGGATGGTGATTCCACCACCTCCCTGGGCAGCCAGTTCCAATGTCTAATCACCCTATCTGTGAAGAAATCTTCCTAATGTCCAACCTAAACCTCACATAGAGCAGCTTGAGTTTGTCCTCTTATCTTGTGGTTGTTTGCCTGGGAGAAGAGGCTGACCCCAGCCTGGCTACAACTTTCTTGTGGCTAGTTGTAGAGAGTGATAAGGTCATCCATAACTCTCCTTTTTCCAGGCTAAAGAATCCTAGCTCCCTCAATTGCTCTTCACAAGAGTTGTGTTCCAGTCTCTTCACCAATTTCATTGCCGTTCTCTGGACTCGCTCCAGCACCTCAATGCCTTCCTGACTTGAGGGGCTCAGAACTGGACGCAGCACCAGAGGTGCAACCCCACCAGTGCCAAGCACAGGGAAACAGTCACTGCCCTGGTCCTGCTGGCCACAATATTGCTTATACAGGCCAGAATGTCATCAGCCTTCCTGGCCACCTGAGCACGTGCTGGCTCATGTTTGGTCACTGTCAACCAGCATCGCCATGTTTTTTTCTGCTAAGCAGATTTCCAGCTGCTTTCCCCCCAGCCTGTTGCCCTGTTGTGATTCAAGTATAGGATGTGGCACTTGGTCTTGTTGAACCTCGTACTGCTGTGCTGGCTTGTACATCCAGCCTATCCATATCCCTCTGCAGAGCCTTTCTGTAGATCAACACTCCCACCCCCATTTGTGCAGCCTTGTAACAGAGTGAAATGTCTGCTTGCTTCAGGAACTCTGCTGCTGGTGACATATTCAAAATAAAATGTTTTTTCTTTATGTTGGAGATCTGAATGCCTTCATATTTCAAAGAGGAAGATAAAATTGTTGTTGTAAGGTGTATGATTATGAAGTTTAGCTACTTAAGTAAGCAGTACACTCTATTCTTTCACACTATCATATTAAATAGGTAGTTCACTATTTTTGAAATAAAAGTTACCTCTTAGAGAGTTTTCTGTCATGATAATTTCTTCTAATTTCGTCTCCTAATCTTCTTGACGTGCCTGAAGTTGCTGTCTTTTAACATGCTCTCTTTTAGTAGTCAACCACAGTCACTGAATGGTGGTTTTAAATGTGATGCTTTTGTTTGTAGCACATCTATTACTGGTGTCTTGACCTGCCTGATCAGGCACTCTGTATCATCAGAGTAAGCTCAGTGAGCAGTGAAGTCAGTCTCTGCTATATCTAGTATTGATGGAAGATGTTGAGATGGTCAAATTTTAGGATAGCTGCAGTCTTTTTTTTCTCTTTTCATAATGTTTGAAAGATTGTATGACTGACAGAACTGTAGCGGCCCACAGTTTCTGGAATTTGTGTGGTTTGAAAGGCACAGCAGGGTTTGATGGCTGCCCTTGGACAAGCACCAAAGTGCTTGGTTCCCTTCTCTTCTCGCAGTCATTTGTGTTCCCTACCCACCTGTAGAGAGGTGCAGACCCAAGGCCAAAATGTGCAATGACAGCAGGGTATGAGGTGCAAACAGAGAGGACTTGTTCTGCTTCCACGAGGGTTGATTCAAGCAGTTACTCTTTATAGTGCACAAGCCACTGAAACTAAAACTGTTCATCAGAGTGTGAGAAGGGTGGAAGGTTATTGCAGAGCGATACAGGAGGGAAAATATTGGGTTAGGTTTTGGCTCAGCTTTCTGCTTTAAATGATTGTGATAGGAAGATGTGGAGGTCCTAGAGGAATTGATGGCTCTTTTGGCCTCCAGAACTGTGAGGAACCTTTGTAGCCAATTCATTATTGCTAAGGGATTTTCTGGAATGCCTGATATTAACTATTTTGTATTACCTCATCTGTATGCCTCATCTATTAGTACTTTCGAGGACAAGAATACTCCAAGCAGAGAAATAGTGGATAATTTTCTTGTCTCTTTTTTGAGAATATAGACCTCAAAATTCACAAGTCTTATGAGGTACTGCTGGTTGTGTGCAGCACTGAAGTTTCAGGTTTTTACCTGGATGCCAGGTGTTACACATGCAGTGCAGAAGAATGCTGCTTAGAAATTTTTCTGCTATGATGCCATAATCTCAGAGGCCCAGAGTTAGACTGCCTGCATTTTTTCCATTTTAATTGAACAGCCACAATATCTGGCTCAGAGAATTCATATGGATACTGTGTCTAGTATAGGATGATTATTTTCTACAGGGATGCTCTTTTAATATAACTCACAGGGAGTTTTGGTCTTTGTCTACAAGGGTAATGGATAAGAAAACAGAGTAAAATAAAATGCAGGTGAGAAATGGAATGTTATATATGGTAAAATAAAGAAACAGACTAGCCTAATGACATCCAAGAAACACATATTACCAAGCTCCAAGATTCCAGAGTGATAATCTCATTAGTTTCATATTATTATGCAACTACTGGACCTTTATGGAGTCACAGAAATTTATGGCAGAAACTGAAGCAGGTTAGAAATTTAAATTAATTAGAAATTAGCTCTAGTTTTTTATTTGAACTCAGTTGTGATTTACAGTACTGGACTTGCCAAATTTTATTTTAAACAGTGACCTGTCATTATGCTGCTGAAGAAGTCCAGGTTTTTCCATCAAACCTGAAGATGTATTTATTTTAGTAAGGATTACTATTCCTGCCAGTGGAATCCCCATAGATTTGGCTAATTGTAATATGGCTGTAAATATGTGTTTTCCATGGAAATGAGTTTAGTCACTGGAATTTTTGGGTTCTTTTAAAGTACTGATAGCTTTGATTAATGTGGTTGCCAAACACATGTATGGTTTGGAGAAAAACTCAGTTAATGTATTTACACTGAAGTGCTCGCTATATGTATGTATTGCTTTCCTGGATGAAGCATGAATTGACAGCTTGACTGTCTCATGCATTTGTGCTGTTAGCAAATAAGGAAAGCCTCCTCTAGCTCAATCAGGATTGAGACTGTGCTGCAGAGATCCTGCCCTCTTGCAAATGTCTGTGAGCTTGAATCCAGTCTTTATATAGGTTTTGTAGATATATTTTCATTGCTTTGTGGGTTTTTTTTTGCTTTTGTTGTAAGAAAGTAATTGAAAATTCCACATGTGACTGGTACGCAAAGAATCCAGAGACAGTACTACTAACTATGCATATAAGGACTGGGCAATATTTACAAGAACATGTAGTGACAGTGATAGTGGAGCCCTGGAAAAAGTTAAAGCTAGAATCTAAAATGTTAGGCTTTGTGCTTTCCCAGATCAACTGCACCTGCGTAAGCAGTATGATAAATTATATAATTGTTAGATGTGATGATTGTTTAGTAATTAAATGTAATTATTATATAACCATAAGAAGAATAATGAGAAACTATGTTGGAAATTCAGAGAGGGGATAAATTTATGTATACAATAGAACAATATAAGTTTAATAATTAACATGAAAGTTATGTAACGATAGAGTATAAAACATGATCATTTCAGATGTATGGTTAGAATCAGATTTGGGTTGAATATACCCCGATTCCCAGAGCTCTCAATAAAAAGCACCACATATAATCCCCCGTGATTATGTGTTTTTGAACGCTAACAGGACAGGGAGGAACAGCCTCAGGCTGAAAATAGGATTAGGTTAGATACTGGGAAGAAATTCTTTACTCTGAGGGTGGTGAGGCACTGGAACACGTTGCCTAGAGAAGCTGTGGGTGCCCTGTCCCTGGAAGTGTTCAAGGCAATGTTGGATGAAGGTCTGAGAAATCTGGTCTAGTGAAAGATGTCCCTGCCCACGGCAGGGAATTGGAACAAGATGATTGTGAAGGTCCCTCCCAGTCCAAACCATTCCATTATCTGTAGTGGTAATATTAATTTAACTTCTTACTAACTTTCATTTTAGGACTAGGCTTACTAGCACAGCAAGCCAATTGTTGACTTGTTAGGTATTGACATACAAATCTAGTGCCAGGAGTCTTGAGTTTCCATATTAAAAAAAAAAAATATACAACCACAGAATTATAGCATGGTTTGTGTTGGGAGGGACCTTTTTTTGTTCTCTAGGTCATTGCTCAGTGGACACTTCTGCTGAGATGTCTGCAGAGGGTGACTGCCTTTTCCACTGATCTTCTATTCATAACTTAGAACTGAGTAAATACTATTAGTAGTATGATTATTATGCCTTCTAAATAATCTGTATGAATGTAAAGATACCAAATACAAGAGAAACATGTTGAGTGTTGTATGATTCACATTATACTTGCATTTAAAATCTGACCACAAATGTTACTAGCATTTTAATGTATAATTTTGAAACTTTTTTAACATAATGCATAATTTCTTGTTTTTCTAGATATGGCATGAACTGCCTCATTCAGTTTGAGGATTTTGCTAATGCCAATGCATTCCGCCTCCTGAATAAGTACCGTAACAAGTATTGCACTTTCAATGATGACATTCAAGGTAACAAACTTTTTCTCTTCTCTTCACTATTCTTCCCACAAGCCACAAAAATAAATCTTAATTTCCAGAGGGGAAAAATTTATCAACTTTATTGTAATATTTATAGATGTATAGGTCACATTTTGCCTTGGGTTTTACTCAGCATGAATTTTTGGTGAGCTGCATTTGCTCTTAACCTTTCATCTCTCATTTACACCTCATACTTTATTTAGATGTTTGTTCTTCAGGTTTAGGTTTTTTTTAACAGTTTAATATGTGAATGGCTTTCCCCATATAAATTACTGACTTCTTTGAGCAAATGTCAAAGCTGAGACCTGGACTCTACTTCCTTGGCTTTTTGTCACTTCAGTGACAACTGCTCCGCTGTTCTTCCATGCAACTGGATTGATAAATGTCAAACTGTTTTTCACTTCTTAAGCTGACAACTCAGTTAAATATTAATGTAATTTTCCTCACAGTTTCACTCAGTATTAGATGGAAATGATCCTCTTGACTCTCTTTTTCCCATCTGAATAATTTATGGAATGAGCTAGAAAAAGGCAGATATCTAGGGTGGGAAATGTCCACAAGGGGAATTCCCCAGTGCTCAATCTAAACAGGCATCTTGTCCCTCCCTCCCAAGAAGACAGACAAGTAGGGCTGAAGTGGTGTATGCTACTACTCAGGTTGCCTTATATCTGGTCAGAGAAGAGCACTGAAAAATAACTTTCTCTAGGGCAGTGGCTTCCATCCTTGAGAGGAGTCTGAAGTCAGATGAGCTGCTGGAGAGAGGTATCCAGAGAGGGCCCTGGGTATCCAGCTACCTCTTGTCCCTGATGTTCCTTTGGGTATATGAAGGTCTCAGTAGTGACACGTCAGAAATGGAAGTTAACCTGTATATATTTTTCATGGCTTTCAGTTACACTTTAAGCCAACTGTTAAGAGCTGGAGTTTTCCAGAAGTCCTTATTGAGCCATGCTTGTAGGACCTAGGTCATATTTTAGTGACTCAGTCCATGGCAGTGGATTCAAATAGTCTTTGTCTTTCTGGTTATAGGGATTTGACTATCCACATGAACCTTGTTCCTGTTATAAGCCTGGTTGAGGTCTACTTATGCATCTGAAACAGATTATGGAGAACAACCTCCCAGATGGGAAATAAACTAATTACAAAATGTCATTTCCTTTTGTAAGAAGCGTGGTGCTTCATACCCTGAAGGGTCTGAGTGTAGCCATGGCTACAACACTTCATTATAGCAGGCCAAACAGCATCTGGAAGTTTCCGTCGTTGTTTAGAGGCCTGGTTCCCACAGGGAATTTCTTGCAGTATGAAGGTCCTTAATCCAAATCAGAAAGAGACTCAAGTAGAATGTCGTTTCAGAGAAATGGGAGTTTTTCAGCAAAAGTGTGCCAACTACAGGTAAACTTACTTGATGAGGCCTTTTGTGTATTTGCAGTTTCAAACCACTTCATTCTCTCTCCTGCACCTTGGAAGGAAGTGTCTTGACATTCAGTAGTGTTGGAAGGTATCCCTTTGGCTTTTGTCTCAGCTGCTGTAGCAGCTATCAGCCTTCCTTAGAAGTACAGCCTTTTAATTTATTTGTTCTCTGCAATCTAATTTGCGCGTATGGGGCCTTTGATATTTTCACAAAAAATGCTTGTGACTTTTGGGTGATCTCCATCCTTAATATCTGTGTAGCTTCCAAGGGGTGAAAGTGGATGCATTTATTTCTGGTTTCTGTCATTTGTCATCATATCCCCGTAGTTACCTTCAGTAACTTTTTTTTTCATAGCATGTCATCTTCTCCTGCAGTGTGGAAGTAGAATAACAGCCCATTGATCTTTCATCACTCTTCCTCTTCCAGCTTTATAAACCCTAAGGATCTTTCACCTAGCAACTATAATGAGAATGGATGGTGCTAACTGCTTTATCAATCCTTTGAGATTTTCAGATTATAAATAGCATGACTTTTTCCAGGCTACTTGAAAGAGTGGCTTTCTCTGTATGCAAGTTGTGTTTTTTGCAACAGTAAAGCTGACAAGTTGTGCCAAGGCAATAGAAGCAAAGAAATATAACACTGCATCTAATTTGCCATTATCTTCTGAAGATAATGCTTACATAGTATTTTAAACATAGTTTCTCCTAGTACTAATATTTTTCAAGAGAAAGCTACTTTAAGATCAAAAGAAGTGTTTAATATCTTCCATAGAAATGTTCAATATCTTTCATAGAAAGACTTGAGGATTTCTTTCTTTATATAAGATATCCCGAGAAAGGATCCCTATATATCTTTTATATATCTTAGTGATGCAATGAGGACCTTCCAGTATCTCAAGTCTAAAAAATACCCTAATATATGATCCCGATTTTTGTCAGTCACTAAAATAGATATACCCATCTGCAAGTACTAACTCGGACAAATGCAGTTGTCCTCTCTTAGCTCACAGCTATTTACAGGGTCAGCCTGCCCCTAACTGACAATGCAGAACATTTGGAAAAAGTCTGCCAAAACACCAGGCACAGAAAACCACTAAAAGATGGACCATTAAGGATCACCTATAGACATAATTAAGAATTTCTGGAAACAGTCTCAATCCCTGCTACAGTACGGTCACATCCTTTACTCTGCAGAAGGCTTTGTCACTTTTTCTACATTACCTCTCTGTACACAAGCAATTGAGAAAAAGGTGAACAGGATTCTGACCAAATGGTATAAATCTGTATTGGAATAATAAAGTTCTTTGTACTTTAGCATTTTAGAAAGCATCTTTGGTTTTGGATAGGTGGTGAATTTCTTCCCTCTGAAATTACAATAATTTCTTCATATCTGTATTTTCAAAATATCTTCTTACAAACACAATAGCAATGTTTCCTTAGGGAGAAAATATTCACTTTTTCCCTTGGATTCCAATCTGGTTTTTTTCTAACCACAAATCAGCTTGGTGCTTTTTTTTCCTCTCTCTCTGAAATACTGAGACAGATTATTGGAAATTAAAATCAGAGAAAGCCTTTGGTTTAAAACAAATACTTTTATCTGCTTTTAGCTATTAGAGAACCTTTTCCAAAACTGAGGGGGGGGTTTGATCATAATTTCCCATATGGGAGAAATATGAATTAATTTTGTAATGGCAAACTTCACAACATTTAGAATTAGGTCAGATTGCTAGCTTTACTCATCTCCAATATACTTAGGGAAGGACGTGTCATGAGGAAAGGGTGGAATTTTCTAAAAGATCTGATATGTGATGGTTTTTTTCTTTCCAACCCCTTCCTGGGAATGGACCCATGGGACCTGTGTTGCCAGACAAAGCTGTTTGTTGGGGTGAGAGATGTTCTCTGTGTGACCGCCCTTGAAGGAAGCAGGCTTGGGATTCACAGTTTAAAATTTCCTTAAAGAAACAAACCAGTTCCCTTCCCTGCTGCAGGGAGGTTGAACAAGTCTCTTAATACCTGCTAAAACCAAAGTCCTAGGTACAAGGCAGTGCTGAAATCCTGCTTGTGGGTGGGATTGGCTTGGGCCACACCTTCCTGCCCTTCACAAACCCAGGGTGTCACAATGCTCCCTTTCCATGCCCATTTTGACTTTGGTGGGTCTGTTGAAGGAGGTTTTGCTGCTTGGGCACAGTCAGTGGCTTAGGGCATGTTTGCATGTCTTCAGAGATGTGCATTTTTTCTTTTGGTGCTTATCATGTGGTCACTGGTTGCAGTCACTGCTGACATGGATACATTTCAAATGGTGGCGTAAATTTCTCTAGCCTTGCTGCCTCTATGTAGGTCAATTTTTTCAATTGTTGCATTCTTTTCGTCTTTTTTCCCCCTCTATACTTAAAAATTGTCTCAATTGACAATGACAAACTTCTGTAGTATAACACAATCGACATAAAATAATGTTTCTCTGCTCTGGAGTTACAGTTCTTGTAGCTTCACTGTACCCACAATTGCAGTGCTTTCCCCCACAATGGACACAGGGCCTGTATTTTATGCCAATAAAAATATTTACACAGAGAGATTGCACTGGATTGGAATTAACTTCAGTATCCATCATGACCTTAGATGTCATTAGTTTTGAACAGCTGTGTTGTTTGATTGCATCAACATTTTATGAAAAGAAAGAGACGTAAAGTAAAAAATGTAGACCACATATAACATAATTATTTCATTTTGTATTTTGATTTTATTTAAAATGTATGTTAAGTGTTCAGCAGACTGCCATTTAAATAACCAGGAAAATTATACCTGGAAGTTATGTTGTGACTAATTCAATGTTAAATCAGTGCCATTCTCAGAAATCAGAATTTCTGTGTTACAAACATTGTCCTTTTCAAGATTAAATTCTTTTGACATTAATATAAAAATTTATACATTTGGTACCTAGAAATTTCAGTTCTTGAAAGCAAATTGTAGAGAAGATTTTGGAGTTGTTGTTACAGTTGTGATGGGCATGGGGCTTCCAGTTCTTTCTCTGACCAGGATTTTGAAAAATGCAGAGTGGAATGACATATAATAGTTCAGATATTTATATCATATATCTCAAATTCTGATAAGATATGTAAACTGTAAAAAACTTCTTTCATAGACACGTGCTTTACTTTCAGAGACATTGGCTTTCAAGTGAAACATGCTGAGATTTTTAAAATTAAATAAAAAAATAGAATAGTTTTTAAAAAATCCTATTAAGACATATGCTGTCGGGTTATATGAAGTGTTTTTCTTTTGGTATATTAAGGATATCACCTCTTTTTACTCAGTGATAAATTTAGATTGAATAATCTAAATTTGTTATCATCCTGTGCTGCTGAGACTGTGTATCCTTTTCCAAATACGCCAAATAGTTGGTGTTTTAGACAGGCTGCATTTCTCCTTGCCTACAGCCTTTCCTCTCTTTCCACTGCCTGCTGCAGAGCAGGGCAGTGTGCACATGCAGCTTTGAGAAGCCCATTCATGGCAAGAAGAAGGAGCTCCCATCTCTTAAAATAGGGGCCTTTTCAACTACCCACAGCTGTAGCATTTGCCTAGCTAGCAACTGAGATCTCACCTTTTCCATAGGATCTTTACTCCCCTTTTTTCCTGTATGTGTAGGAGATGGGAATGGATTTTTTTCCCTGCCACACTGTGAAGTCCTATTTGGATAGCTGGCAATTGTTAACATGTGATTTCTTTTATGCTGTGTATTGAGAAATACGAATTTTACTTTTACCACTTCCTAATCTTTTAGTCCAGAATGAATACCTCAGGTTTTTGGATGTGCTGTAGAAAGTTCTTCCCTCTTATTGTTTGCTAGCTTTTTAAAATGAGATAGGTAAAATTACATAAAGGAACTACTAGCACTTGATTACAAGTTTTACTTTTTGAAACTTTAAATAATGGAAAAAGGCTTCTGTGCAATAATCCCTTTCTCACTAATTTAAATTAAATTTCATGCAATATAAACTAAGTTCTTATTCCTCACATTTTGGGGCTTTTCCCCTCCCCAAATCTTTTGTTCAATTGTATCTGCTGAAAAGGTAGTCTGTGCTCCCAGGCATTTACAGTGTGTCAGCCTCCAAAGGCTGTGGATTTCTTTTAACATATTCATGCTCAGTTGTGCAGTTTACTGTAAGAGGGCTAAAGAATCTTGCACAGAAAATGAAGACTTGGTATAGAATAGTTTACCTTGATATTTCACATCTGTTGTGTTTATACAAGACATGACTTACCTTCCTAAAAAACTATAATGAAATATTTGCTGTTACAGCAGTTGACACTGCTTTAGGAAAATATCCTTTGTTAAATTTGCTTTGATTAATATTCTAGAAATCTGTGGAGAATAAAATGGGTTTTCAAAATCATGTTCTTGAAAATGTCTATCTTATCCTGCACACAAAGGATTTAACCCGTGCTCTGGCCAAGCTGATTCTCCACTTCCTACAGTGATGACAGTCAGAAAAGTGACAAAAATCTGCTTGTGCCTCATGATGTCCACAAAAAGTGATTTGCATCTGCCTTGGCAGATGGATTTGAATTGCATTTTGATTAATTTCAAAAGCTTGAGCCAGTATTCAGGGTGAACTGTAAGGTCATGGCGTTAGTCAGAGCAGTTCCGGTTAAACAGATCTGCTATTCAGGCTGCCGGTGCCCCTTCAGTGGGAGGGAATAAGGGAAGCTGCTGACGAGGAGTGATGACAGCCACTGCCAGCAGCAGTGATAGTGGGTTCAGTAATCTAATAAACTGGCTTATTATTCCTTTCAGAGTCAAAAGGCGGAATAAAATTGATGTGGAATACTTCTAAACACCCTTTTTAGGGCAATTCGTGATTTGAGAGAAAAGTCATATTTAAGCCTTTATCTATTGCAATTATAAACTTTGTTCTGAATCGTCCTCATTATGAACATACAGGTAACAGTAGCTCACATCCTATGCAAATATTTGATGCAAGATGTATTGATATTCAGTGCAGGATTTTATTTATGTTTCATATATTTATTTATGTTTATTTATATATATCTTCTATTTCTCCTTAAAACAGAAGATCGTGTAGTGACAAATTTTGTAAAAATATCCCAACTGGTAATACTTAATGACAGTCCATTTTTCTGGCTAACAAGCTTAGCAACAGTACATCAGCCATGAAGATAAGTGGTATCCCAGCATTCCCATTTGTTATAAATCTCTGGTGTTTCATTTTTACTCTGTCACCATAAAGCAGCTTGAAGAGCAGCTTTCATGGCTCTCTGAGAACTCCTCTGATGGGGGCAGGGTGCTGTGATGACCACAACCTCAAGGAAAACAGGGATCTTACAGCTCCAGCTCAGCTTTCCTTTTCAGGAGACCAGATTGATGGTCCTAGGAACAGGCTGTGTTATGTAGGCTCCCTCCTCCTCCCTTGCAAGCACAGCTGTGTAAAATAAAATAGGAGAAAGAATTTGGCATCCAACGAGACCATGGGATTTTTTTCTTGCTGGTTATGAGGATTGTTTGATAGAATACCAAGGGAAACTGAGAGCACACTCTGACTTTTCTTTTTTTGCCAGTTTTGGTCTTTGCCAGCTTGGCACTTGCCTGAGGAAGACTTAATTTCATCTGGGAAAGGAACAAGCTAGTTCTGGGAGACTGTGAGGTGGAAGTGTCTCACTGTCTGATGGTTATTGTTCCTAAAGCCATGCTTCAGAGGAACCATTTTAAAGATTTTTTTATTTAGAAGTCAGGGACAGAACAAGTCATAAAAATGACTAAAGAGGTAAAAAATGCCAGATTTGTATGGTCTAATCATTAAGTGGGCTGAGAACAAGGTGTCCTGTATTTCTAATGATTGAAGTGAAAAGTCATAATCAAAAGCACATAACAAACATAATTCTGAAGACACGTGTTTTTTAACTGTTTTAGTGGATTTACTGCAAAAAGTGACTTTCTAACTTTAAAATGTGTTCTTAAATTTTATTAGGCATTACCTTTTATTTTTGAATAAGTAACCATTCTTGAAACTTAGATGATCCTACCTACAAACCACAGATTCAAACCCAGCTTTCAACACCCAAATGATGTCATTGAAGAAAAGTACAATACAAAGAAGCCAGTACCAGGCTTCTTACTACTTCTGTTCTTTTAGGTCCTGTAGTTTTAGCTACATACATATATTTGACAATCAATGGTCTGTGTGCCTGAAGTATGAATACCTGTTTTGAGCATCTCATAGAGTTTAATGTAGGGATTACTGCTATCTCAGCTTTAAAATTCACCTTGTTTATGAGAAAATAGACTTGTGAATAGCAAATTTAGAGCAGCTGCTTATTGAGAGCAACTATCCAATATGCAGATTCTGGGCCAAGTGCTTTTGTGAGGCTGGTCATAGCCATTTCACACTTTTTATGAAGGAAAAATCAGTAGCAATATGAATTCTCCCCTCAACTGTGTGACTTGTAGGCAATTGCAGATAGGGCAATGGTGATCAGGAACAGACTTGTAGGAGCCAGCAGATCTCCTCATTGCAAGTTCTTGCAGGCTTCTCAAAATAATTCATGGCCTCATCTTTGATTTCCTTGAGTCAGTCAGTGACAGCTGCTGCCCAGAAAGGGAAGACTTCACTTCTTTTTCCTGGAACTGGACATTGCAGGGCCTGTGTTCATCTCCCTGTGGTCCAGCTCTCTCTGAATCAGATAGGCATTATAAATCTTCAAAGACTGTTGAAACTCGTGTTTTGACTTTCAGTACCTAATTGTTAGCATCTGGACAGCTTTTTCAGTCCGAGAGAAATCAGTGCTGTCTGCAATTGGTTCTTCAGAATCTCCTCTAAATCCAGAACTTTGCTGGAGGTATTATCTACCTCACTACTATATTCCTGTCCACTATGTTGCTGTCCATGGGATCCAAGTTCCTTGCAGCAATAGAGTCTGATTTTATTTTTTTTTGTAGGCTCACCTTATGCTTTAGTGATGATAATAATTTGTGAAAAATACAAGCTTGTTGCATGAAGTCACAAACACATGAAAGAAGGTCTTCCCCTTCCAGTAGGCTTTGTTGGGGAGAAGGAGTCACCTTCAGTCTTTTGGTCAGAAGAGCCAGATGTGAGCTCCTGGTGACCAAATATCACTTCTTTGAGCACAACAGAGGCTGACAGCTGGACTCAGCAGTGCTGACAATTCACCTGCAGGGCAGTGTATCAATTTGGGTGCAGTGATTCAAGTTAAGAAAATTTAACTTTCTGAAAGAATGGGAGGATTGGTATTGTTCCAGATAAGCAAGCTGATTGGAACACCATCAGTCTTTAAATGTAATAAATTACTTTTTACAAAGTATCAGGCTTTCCAGTAGTAGATAAGAAGCTGAAAAGAAATAGAAGAAGAAAAGAAGTGTTTAGATTTGAAATTTTCAACCTAGAGTACAGTTAAGCACTGGAATAGGCTTGCTGAGCTCTTTCAAGTAAGAGTATTTGAAAGAAGACCTTAAGGACAAGTTAGACAAAGATATGTCAGCAATCACAGAGGTTAGATTTACTCTGCCACTCTGAACAATTTTGAGTTAGATGCCTGGTTGAATTCTTTTTTTGCTCTACTTTTTATTAATAGCTGTTTCTCACAACGAGAACCAAAATTTCTCCATTCAAAGACAGGTATCTTTTTTCCTGGGGTTCTGATCTGGAGAAAAAAGACCTCCCTAGGCTAAATCATCAAACTGAATGTTAGCCTTTTTCCTTGTGTGACATTACTCAAAGATAGATTTGAAAGGTGCCTCCAAATGTTTTAGAAGATACTAAACTGAAACTCCTGTCACAGTGGGCTCAAGTCTTAAATAAGCTGGCCTAATTCTTACAGCTGGTTTAGCTTCTCTGTAAATGTTCAGTTTGATATTCTACTCTGACAACTTCCCCATGAGAAATGAACTTTTATTTTAACCTTATATTTTACTGTACTTGAAGTATATCTATTTGAAGAATGAAACCAGTAACCTAATTTTCAGTATCTGGATTTCTTAAAAATATTTCTCTCTGGACTCTCGCACCCTTTGTTCTAAAAAAGGTCATAACTAGAGTATCTTACAAAAGTTTGAATGGCCTAGCCATTATACCCATCCATATAATCAGTCTATTTTATTTGATGTTACTCTGATGGTATTCTCACTTACATTTAACTTTTGTAAGAGTGAAGTAAAACAAACTCTAACTCCAGTCAACTGTTTGTTACTATCCTCAGTATTTGTATCTTTTAGCCAAAAGATGCTGTGGTATTACTTAAAATGTAAAGTTTTGTAATTATTTTAAGAATAATCAGATACATTCTCTTTTTTTTATTTTATTTCAGGAACTGCATCTGTTGCTGTTGCAGGTCTTCTTGCAGCTCTGCGTATCACCAAGAACAAATTGTCAGATCACACAGTGTTGTTCCAGGGAGCTGGAGAGGTAGGTGGTTTTATACATTGGGGAAATTGTTCTATGATGAGTTTTATTAATATTTACTGAGTTACATGTGTCCTATAAACAAGACAATTAAATGAGTAGAATAATTGCTAACACCTGCTAAAAGTTGTTTTTTAGTTCAAATGTAAACTCACAGAAAAAGCTCTGATCATCTGGTGAAGCCTCGTCTTTTTCGTAAGACATTTTTTGGAGATCTGCTTTCTTTTTAGAACTTCAGGTTTTAGCTCTTCCACTGTAAATTATTGAACTGCTCTTGATATAACTAAGCAAAACATTTTTTGACAGATGAGGAAATACAGCGGAGAAAGTAAATTTAACATATTTACCCAAGTCAGCATTATTTAGTAAGAAGTGCCCCTTTGATTTTTTTTGCATTGAATATAGTTTTTCAGTATTCTGCATATTAAGGTCATCCATTTCTGAGGATCTTTATGCAGACTATTTTTTATACTAATTTTTGAGTATTAATTTCTAAGCTGCTGACACACAAGTGCAGGCTGTACTTATCTACAGTATGGCTTGTCATCTTTTGTATGAAGCCTACAACCCCATGCTGGCTTCTTTAATTTCATTAAATATTTGGTGCTGTGTCTGCAGTTTTCAAAGTGACTTGTATCCATATCTGTCATGTCATCACCTTACTGCATCAAGACTATCCATCTTTCTAGAGTTCCTTCCCTTGGTTTTCTTCCATGTTCAACAAGCAGATGAATTAATGGTCTGATGTTTATTTTTTTGTCAATAGTTTTAGTGTGGCTGTTGCTGCCAAGAGGTAATGGTAGCTATCACCCCTGCTGCAGGAGCTGTTTCTTAATAAAACTAACTATTTCTTAGCAAAAAAAGGAAAATCTCACTTGGTTCTCAGTGAAAATCAGTGATAAAGAACAAGAAACAGAACCCAAAAAATACACGTATGGGTCTGTAATCAGAAATATTGGCCAGTTTCTTGGCTTGTTTTGATGCCTGGTTTTCAATCTGTACCTGTATGGCATATAATCTGTTGGATGAAATATTATAAAATCCAGTAAGAATGAAAAAAGTTTTGGCAAAAGATTGATATGTGAGTTTTTCTTTCCCCTGCTTTGACTGGGAGCACAGCCAAGTCTAGAGTTACAAAACACATGAATAGTAGGTAAAAGGAGACTTACCTTTCTGATGGACATCTTAGAAAAAGATAAGAGAAAAAGCTCTTGTGTTTTACTTTCTGGCATGCAGACTGTTATTTCCTTTAGTTTAAATTACAAAAATTTCAAAGAAGAAAAAATATTTCTTGTATTCTGAGATGAATATCATAGACTGATAGAATGGTTTGGATTGGAAGGGACCTTAAAGATCATCTAGTTTGACCCCTGCTGTCATGGGCAGGAACCTTCCACTAGACCAGATTGTTGTCCAACCTGGCACACTTCCAGGGCTGGAACTATCATTATGTGGAACAAATGTTAGTTCTAGCATTTTCTAGTTTCCAGCCTCAACATATATTGTGCTCTTCACACTCTAAGAGCCATCTGAAGATTCATCTATGCTACGATTTATCTATATGATTTAAGATTTATCTATGCTCTTCTTCTGTGTTATGGTTTCTAATTACCAAATGGTAGCTACAGGTCATTAGGTTTATTTTATGAAAAAATAATGATTCCATATTATTGTTTATTAAAATTAGAAAACTTATCTAAAATAGTAGGTGAATGAAACATGTGAGCTGGGGATTTCTTTCATTTCTTGTTTTGGACTTTACCTTTCTTCTTTTTTCTTCAGGCTGCATTGGGGATAGCAAACCTCGTTCTTATGGCAATGGAAAAAGAAGGGCTATCCAAAGATGCAGCTATCAAAAGAATTTGGTTGGTTGACTCGAAGGGATTAGTTGTAAAGGTAATACAATTTTGTCATTACTTTAAATATCACAATACTTACTTGCATTCTGTAGATAAAGACAAGGACATATTCTTTGTGAAAGCAACTGCAAAAATATCTCTCTTGGGATAGCGAGTTGTTTTTCTTTTCTTAAGTTTATTAGATTAATGACAGACTGGCCAGTGGGATGATTATGCTTGGAGTTCCTGTTCTGTTTCTATTAGAGATGAGCACATAATGAAGAAAAATTTTCAGCAGTTCATTAAAAAATGTGTAAGAAAAGAAATGTCCAACTTCAGAGCTTAATATTTCCCATCTAAATGCGACTACTATTTGTTAGCACAGTTTTGGACAAAAATGTATAGGCACATTACTAGGATAGCAGGCAAGTCATCCTTCTGCAAGAACTGAGATGCATTGCAACAAAAAGCTTCTCTGCCCAGTGATACAGCTCATGTTGCAGATGTTGTGGTCTGCAGTCCTATCAACACTGGTCAGAATTTGAAGCTGCTGAGAGACTTCATCAGTCACCCTTACCTCATTCCTTCCATGTGCCAAAATAAAGAAACATATGAATTCCATGTGCCAGAGTAAAGAAACTGGTGTGTTTTAAAAGGTGGTTATATATTTAATAGTTTGTGAACTACTTAAAGGAAATAAATAGATGAGAGGCTAGTTGCCTTTGCTTTTTCACCTTGCTGGTTGGTTTGAAGTATTTGTGGTCATCTTTGTTGGTACCGCACTTCACAGTGTTCTTTGGCTGTCTGACATTAAAGGTCTTTTGTGGTTCACACAGCTGTGCATCAGGAGGATGCATTCTGCAGGCAGTCTCTGCTGGCTTATTGAACAGCATCACAGCACCTTTCACTCATAGTGTTAAAGGGAAAATAGTACAATCATAGACATCGAGATGGGCATTATTGGTATTATTATACCAAGGTCATCTTGGTCATCCCTTGCCAGAAGGCACAAAGGTAGCCTGATCAGGTACAGAGGAATGCAGGTAGCTAGGACACAGATTTTTTTTTTCCTCTGGTGCTTTTTTTGTTTGTTTAATGTGTATTTTTAATCCTTTTGGTTTTCATCTAATAATTTTGAAGTGATTTTATCTCCAAACATAAATGACTGAAGGCTTGTGTATAAACCTTGAGGTTGCCTAAGAGTAATTGGTTGCACCACTTCTTTCACCATAGAAGCTGGGCATATCAAATTATACTATTGAATTAAAATCACCTCCTGGTGATTGAGGAAACAAACAGGGGCAGAAGTGTAGGAGCTTCCCAGCCCTGAAGCAGTAAAAGAGGTCTCTGCTGTGTGTCCATCCAGCCGAGGAGGCTAACCAGCCTTTCTCCTTTCTTCTTGCTCCCTGTTTCTTGTCCCAGTCTCTTCACACCTCTCACTGCTAATTTGCCAGTCAGCTGACAATCTGGGCTGTTGCTCTTGGTAAGCAGAGACTCATTCCTTTCATAGGTTCTAAATTTTTAGTGACTCGGTGACTGCATTCTTTCCTCACCACCTTTGAGCTTCTGCACTCTCAAGCAGTGCCAAAACCAATCAGCGTTTCACACAGCCTTGATGTTCCTTTCCTCTGCTTATTCTTCTTGGTGGAGCTTTAATTTGGGTTTTGTCCAAAAAGCAGTCCACTGAATTTCATGTCCTGCCTGGAGTGTATTTGTGAACTGTTTGTGATCGCCAGACATAACAGCTGTCTGAGGTAGATTAGGGCTGAATTTGTGGCCAGATGTTGATGCAAGCAGCAGGAACGGACGGTGCGTATTTCAGGTCATTGCTTGTGTTCCTGGAAGACCTGGCAGCACCAGTTTTCCCATCTGGCTGTCCTGAGGGGCTGGAGAATGGGTGGGGGCTTGCTGCTGTGTTGTGTTTGAGGGACATCTGTCAGTGCAAGGCCTCGGCTGACATAAGGAAACATGTCCTTGGTATAGGGCTCTGCAAGTCCTCTCTTGGCTTTCTTCTGCAGCAAAATGTTCCCCCACTGAAAAGTTTCAAAAAAAATGGACAAAATATCCTTCCTGCAAAGAAAGAAAATAAAATGTAAGCCTCAAGAGGCTTAAGATTTAACTGCTGGGAAGCTATATATACAGTGAGCAAATAATTAAACTATTCCGGGCTCCTTTTTCTGGCCTGATAGAGAATGCTGTGATTTAGGTCCGCTTAGGAAATTATTTTGGCTTTAGCTGATTGCAGAAAAATGCTACAAGGCTTCTTGAAGAACTTTCCAAACTTGTAGAAATAAGATAAGAGAAATAAAGTGAGGAAGATTTATGAGAACAAAATCAGAACTCTATTATTACAAACCCTTTCATTATTGCAAAGGTAAGAATTACCAAAATCAGAGCCTAGATCACCAGTTAATCAAATTTTGTATAAACTATGCTGACACGTATTTCTTACTACTAAAGACATGTATCAATGGAAACCTGATAATAGTCCCTTAAAATTTGCCTCACTAAAACCTGCTTGATCAAAAGAATTCTATGTGAAGCAGGGAGACCTTTTAAATACTAGAAATATTCTGATCAGTTGCTTTAGCAGTATAAGAAATAACAGAATTGCTGAAGACTCAGCAGTTACTTTGTCCAACTAAACTAATTTTTACATCATTTATATTCTATGCTGGCCTTTGATCATTAATTTTGCAATGTGTTATTACAGATTTAAATATTGTTTCTCCTTTCATCTACTTTCTGTAGAATTTCAACCAGTTATAAGAAAAATAACCTGGGAACTGTTGTTGACCTGGCTGCAGTTTCCACCTTTTTCTTTTTTCCCCACCCTCAAAAGCTGCCACGAAGTCACTTATCAGGCTTTTGTTGCTGAATTTTTCCTTTGTGGCTTTTTAATTTTAGTTCAAGTGCAGCTGTGTTTTCATTCTCCTGTTAATTTTATTTTCCCCCCATGGGAACCATCTGTTTTCATTAAACCAAGCCTGATGACCAACTTTTCTGCTATGCTGTGGTAAAAAAGCTGGTGATAGAGCTGTGTTTGTTATACTGTCCATAGTTGGGTTCTGTAATTCCTTCTAGAGAATTTACAGTGTTGTAGATACCAGTTGGGGGTTGTTGTTTGGTCTTTTAAAGTTTGTTCAGAATGCTTTCACCTTTTGAAACTGTTTTCGAAAGGTGAGTGAGGAAGTTTTGCACATCATATACTTAAAATTGTGTGACTTTTTCCAATGTACTGTTGTAAGTATCCCAGTGTATTCAAATGGAAATTTTAATGCTTAATTAAGAGACACTTTAAAGTTGGTTTTGCACTCTTGTGTACTTGAAGATTATACATAATCAGTTGGGACTCATCTTTAGTTCTGAATTTCTAAATTATCACACAATCACAGTCTGTCTGATGAATATATATTTATCTATATAAAGTGGGTAATGTCTCCCACATTCCATTCCCCTATTCTCAGTGTTCCCTTATTTTTCTTTCTGTTAATTCCACAGGTTACATCAATATGTGATGTGTGGTGAGCACATTTTGGGTCTCCTTTAAAGCTGCCATAGTGTCATGTGTAGCTGTATTAGTAGCCAAGTCTTAGTCCATGACAGTAAATTCTTTTGTGTCAACTGGTTGAGGAAAGGCAGAATATGAGAATGTTGGGAGATTCATGAGGTTCACCATTGTCTGAGCATTTCAGTAATGTGCTGCAAAGGCTTTTTATTACTTTTTGTTTTGTTTTCTAAGGCAGTACCAAGAACAGGGTAGGGTGATAGGCAAGAGGGTTCTTGGAACTTTCTAGGAATATGATATAGTTAATAAGGCATTTTTAATATTTAAATGGACTTAGTAGAAACTTCCCCCCACCCTCTGCCAAGGATGGCTGCTCCTGTGCTGAGGATGGACAGGGAGTATTCCTGGGCTGCCAAACATGCTTCTATTGCAGTGAAATTTTTCTATAATTTGCAAGGCATTTTTGTACACCACATACTCTCTAGTGCACAAAAGTTGTTCCTTTGCAGAGGGATGAATGTCATCCTTAATTTTAAAGAGTAAGTCACCATGGAGAAATGTTTCTTTGGACAGTTTTGCACTCTATTCTTTCTAGTTCAGCACAGTAATACTTGTGTCTAGTTGAATGATTTGTATTCTAGATATCCATTAGATGTGTGATCTTAAACCCTGTATGACAAGCACAAGAATATTCACTGAAGTCTGATGGCTGAAGGCCTCAGAATATTGATCTTCTATATCAGAGGAAGACTGAAATAGATCCCAAAAAATTAACAATTTCTGTGGTCCTGATTAATTATAATAGAGGTAACCAAGTAAACTGGTAGATAATCACATAAAAGGATTTCATTTTGCATCCTCTTTCTCCCATTTGATTATCCCTGGCAATTTAATTTGCAAAAGATTCTCACAACCAATTAACTGTCATTGGATATGACCCTGATTAAAGTTCATGGTTTGGTCAAAGCTGGGTACATACATGGTTCAGTCTTTGCTTAGAGAATGATGGAAGAGAAAGGGGGACATTTGGAATAATACCAGAATTTCAGTGCCAGACTCATATAACAAGCGAAAGAATTTTCAGAGCTCCCAATGAAATATCATAACATTGAACTGAATCCCATCCAGACTGTCTGTTACTGATTTTAAAAAAATTTTATCGTAATCATTCTTTTAAAAAGTTTCAATTTCAATACTAGATGAATTTGATAATGTTTTAAACTGTTATAAACCACTGTCTGCCAGTTCTGCTAGCTTTTAATTATTTCTAGCTTTCTTTTTATCAACAGTCAATTATTCTGACACTTCTGTTCTTGGTAAGTTCTTTTATGGCTGACTGCAACTGGCTGGGACTCTTTCAGCCAAAAAAAATCATTTACATTTTAGCAAAGATGCAATGCCTTGAGTATCTCCAAGGAGCCACAATCACCCAAAGCAGTTTCTGCCTTATTTTACTTATGTACCATCCCAGCAAAGCAATCCTGGTTTGCTTCATCAGTTTTTCTGATGCCTGGGGAATTAATCTGTGCACTTAAATCTTGCATTTGTCA